TCCTGCCTGTTGAACACTTCCTGGCTTTCTCTGCATAACCCTTGTCTCTTTGGACCGCTCGGCTGGAGTATCTCATGTTCTGCTACCTGCGGTCGATCTCCTTAGCGAAAACCATCCACTGATTGGGGCTTTTCTCTGGTGTAATGTGAGCCCTATCCTAATGGGCGTGGCCTGGGCCACACTAGCCGGTTCACCGTCCTGGATGAAGATATAGGCCGCTTCCTTCGGGTTTCGAAGGGTGCATCCCCAACCGGGATGCTGAGAGATGGTGGGTGTCTGGAAAGGGGTAGGGATGGGGATAGGGGTCGGTCAATCGATACGGATGTCAAGGTCCAACTGTTGGCCTGTGGGTACCAAGTTCGGGCCCCCAAACCGTCAGGAAAACAGTCCGGGATGGCAAACGCGGGTTCCCCGGATGGGGTCGAGAGGTCCAGGGGCCTATGACACGAACAACCGCAACGTCGGATGTCTGGGGAGGAGGAGGAGAAGGAGGAGGCGGGAGATGAGGAAGGAGGGAGCATCAGAAGTTGCACGGCGTTTCACTGAGGTACTCGGGGCGTGCTTGGTCCTTAGAATGTCCTAGAGGGCTAAATTTTGAGGCACTCCAGCACGAATATGGGAGAGGCCTCTCATTCCCCCGTCCTCCCTTCCTCCCTTGCCTCCCTTCCTCCCCTCCCTTTGCAAATTCACCCCTTTCTCCAAATCCTGCTCATCCTTCTCCTCCCTCTCTCCCCTCCTCATCCTCCGCCTACTTCTCCCCCTCCTCGCTCCCTCCATACCCCCCAATCCAGCCTTCCTCCCTCCCTCCCTCTTCCGTATCCTCCCTTTGGCCCCCCCTCCCTTCCTTACACTTCCTCCAATCCTGCCCTCCGCACCTCCATCCACCCTTGCTCTCTTCCTGCCTTCCTCACTTCCACCCGTCCTCACTCCTCCTCACCATCCTCTCCCTTTCGCCCTTTTTTTGATTCTCTTTCGCATCAATAACTGATGCCTGTCGAGCCCCCAGGCGTGTCCGTATGGCGGGCCGGGCGTTTCGCCGAAAAAATCCCCGCCAGTAATACGAATGTGGATCTCGCCCAAGCGCCGCGCACATCCGGCTTAGAGCTTGCAGTGCTTTCAAGGATGGAGGGCGGTTGGTTTTCAAAACGTGGTTTTCGCCTAAACGCCGCGCGCCGTAGTTTCAAAGTTTGCAACAACGTCTAGGACGGAGGCCACAGTTTCAATGGCTCGCACGGCGAATGTCCCATGAACGGTGTCATTGCACGATTTTGGGTTGTCGGGACGCAACAGTCATGATGTTGACTAGCTGTGCTGAAGACTCAGGAGTGGTACTCTGACAAGATCTAAGATTGTCAGGAAACAGCGGTCACGTTGATTGACGTATCTGAAGTAAGAAGAATAGTGATTTGGCACGGTTCGGGGATTATCAGACGCTTGTGTTTCGATTGGGGCACTTCCACCAATGACCATAAACTGACGTAAGGACCTACAAAACGCGAACATGGAGTGAGGGTGTACAACAGCATCGCTGATGCGCCTTGGCTTTGCACTTGTCTTCCTCCTCCCCCACCTCATTAGTCCCCTCCTTTATTCCTCCATGCCTCCCCTGATTTCGTCCTGTACCTTCTTCGCCTCCTCCTCCCTGCCCTCCCCCTTCCCCTCCTCCTCCCCCCACCCCGCTCCCTCCAGGGAGGAGGGAGGAGACGCAGGAGGCCCAGCGAGTGAGGAGGACAAAGATGGAGAAAGGAGGGTGACAGACTGAAGGAGGGGCAAAGACAGAATGAGGAGGACCGAGGGGTGGAGGAACGGGACCTCCCGTGGGGTCCGTTCCGGCCAGGAGTCCCGGTGGGAATCTGGCCGCGGCGGCAAGAAACCTCCTTGGACCTCTGACCCCGTGGGGTGAATGCCTCGGAAAAAGAGGGACAAGGGTGAACCTTCGTGGGAACGCCTGTGGGCCTCCGCGGCCCTATCACAACCGCGATTTCGACTGGACGTCGTGCAAAAATTTCGGCCACCCCTCTTCACCCCTCCGCTCGGAGCTCGTCCCAATTAGGAACCAGAAAAAGAAAAACACACACAAAGGGTTTTGGCACCACCAGCGGCGCAACGCATGTGCACACATGCCACTGGATCCCCAACGATCCGAACCAGGGTTGATGCACGGCCGTGTTCTACCAACAAACATTCCGTGGTGGTTTGGCACAGCCAAACCACCGTGCAACGTCAGTTTGTTCATCCGTTGACAGCAGCAAGCGTCGCGGCAGAAAAACGCAGTAGCGCGCGGGCATGCAGGGCCAGCGATGTGGCTGGCCAGCTGCCAGCGCGACTTCGGCATAAGAGCCAAACATCGACGTAGGATCGTTTTGGGCGCGGTATCCGGCGCAGCTGCATCGCACTGCCAGGCGCCGCGGCCTTGTGATTGTAGCGCCACGCCCCGTGCGCTCCTCGAGGCGGGAAAGCAAGCTCTACACAATCGCGCGTGCTGTTGTGGGGGCGGCGAAAACGATCGTACACAAAGGAAATTCCTTTGTGTGCCCCCCCGCGTTGGTAGTGTAACCGGACCGCACACAAAGGAATTACACGAGACTTCGTGGCACACAGAGGAATGACAGCAACCCCCTTTGGGTTGCGCTCGTTGCGCGCGGTGACAGCTCCGAACTGGACAGGAAGGGGGGACGGGACAAGGCAAACCAGGGGAAGAGGAAAGAGAAGAGGAGGGCGAGGAAGAAGCGAAGGAAGCAACGGAAGGAAGCCTGGATGCGCGCAAGCGAAGCTACCACTGCGCGCCGAGACAGTTGTTCGTTCGTTCGATTGCCCGAGCGGCAGATGAATAGAAAAAGAACTGCTTGCTGCCTATCGAAGGGACTTCTTGGGAATGAGACTCGCGCTCTCTTCCCAACCTCCTTTTCCCACACCCCGTTGCGAGCGCGCGACGATTTGTTCTGGCCAGCGGGCAGAGGACTGCCAGCTGCTGGTGAGCGGCCTTTCCACCCGTCGCGCGTTCCGAACACATGCGACCAACTAAACGCACTTGCCACGCAAACCGCTAGCTCCAAACACCGACGCCACCCCGATCCCCGCATCCGTGCCAGGCACCCTCTCAACGACGCCCCTTTCCGGCGTAAAACCCATAAAACACTTTGTCTGTATGTGTTTTTTTCCTGTTCTGTACAATTTCGTCCACACGTCGATCGCAAGCGACAGCATCTGGACGAACCCCCCCTCAGACCGGAAGGATTTCATGGACCTTGTGGCCACACAAGGGGGGATTATGCACGGAGGCGCGCCACACGGCCGCCGCAGGCATCCCGGGGGGCGCCGTCGGCTCTGCGCCGCGCGCAGGAAGAAGAGAGGAAGGAGGGCCGCCCTCAGATTCGAGGATCGAAAGTCGACGGCCGAGTTTTTTTTCTGGGGGCGAGACTGCCTGAATACCCATGACAATCACTTTTTTTGATCCGCGGGTCGAAAGCGCACCTCTTCCGGTCGAAGCTAAGCGGGCCGCGCACAGCTTGAATTAACGAGAGGGGGGGGGAACCCATGACAATCACACCCGGAGGATAATATAATCCGTGGCTCGAGGGGGATAACCAACTTCTCGTCCTGGCAGCTCGTGTGTACGGAGGTAGGGATTGGTGTTTTTTCCTCGGGGGGCCTCGGAACTCGCATGTACGGATGCTAGTCTCTACTTGAAAGGTTACGACCTCGAGACTCTCGGTCCCCAGCACCTCGGCGTTTCTCGTCAGAGGCCTAGAGCTCGCCAAGAAGCCTCTCCCACAGCCCTGCCACACGTTCGTGAGTTACGAAAGCTGACATGGTGAGCATCCCAGATTCCTGTCAAACGTTCGTGATAGCGTTGCTGCAGTCGGACTTGATTAGACACGACACGCGAGAGGACACAAGACCCTTCCGAGGGCCACTTTGCCAGATGAATGTAGGAGGCATGGGTCGTGAGACACAGGACATACGGGCACCCTTGATTTCACAAGGTCGACCTGCTAATCAAAGCCGACTGACTTCATCATAAGAAGATTGAAGGGGCCCTGGGACACACAAATAAACACACACACAAATAAAACGATTCCCCATATGTTCATATATTTTCTGGGTTTTTGTCTTCCCCCTCCACTTCTCACATTTTCCAATATTTTCTAGGGAATCGACGATTAATTGTGTCTGTGTGTTTTTGTCCCTCCTGAAAGATATCAGCTCCGACTCGTACTTTCCAGGGCGATAAAAAAAGTTCGGCCTCGCCGCCCATCGCCCTCGACCAACTCTGTCTTGGCTCGGGATAACCAACTCTGAAATATTAAAGGTGGGATGCTTCATCTGGCATTAAGGCGGGCGTGTCCCCCTAAAACGGGATTTTCGACGAAAAATAAAAAAATACCCCCCAAATACCCCCAAAAGGGCAACAAGTATGCTAAAAATAGTCCCCAGGCTATTTTTGGACTATTGTTTCACTATGGGGTGTGTTTTATTTTTTGTCGAAAATCCCCCTGTAGGGGGACAGGCCCGACTTACGTCGTGGCCCGGGATAACCAACTCTGAAACCTTAAAGGGGGGATACTTTATCTGGCACTCTCGATTACGTGTTGAATATTGGACTCCTTGTTGCCGATCGCTCATTGGCCGTCTTCGGCGGTTTTCGGCGACCTTCGGACGGTGTTCGGCGGTGTTCGGCGGTCTTTGGCATATTCCAGCGGCTTCGGCGCGAAAACTATATGATTGCGTTCAAGAAGGGGTCCATAATCGAGCACCTGAGGGACGAAGGTAACACATTTGCAGAAAGAGAGAAGGCGCTGCGATAAAGGAAAAAACGGTACAGAAGGAAACGAGCCATGATCCCGGGGCGTTACCTGGGACCGGAGTTCCACTCCAAAGCCGTTGTCTGACTGTCCCAGGACCCCGGGAAGGAAACGGCGAAAAATCTCAGGACCCCGTTCCTCATTGGGGCCCTGGCTCTTCATGGTAAAGGAGAGGAAGAGGCCCCAGCTCCCCACCAGCCCACGAAGGCACGCCGTAGGTCGCTGATCATCTCGTCGAAATCCGGGTCCTCGATGTCGTCGAGAGCTCCTCGCGTCTTGCGACACACGTGCACGCCCTCGGTCCTCGCCTCTTCTGGAGAGAGCTCGATCCCTGCTCCCTAACAGGGAGCAACCTCGCCGTCGCACCACCAGACGTGTCGAAATGGCGGTCCAGGCGTTCAGCCCGAGATGCCCTCACGTGTCATTGCCATCTTGCCGGGGGGTCCCATCAAACACACAGACTGAGGGGCGGGCTGCTGTCAAGCTCGGGCTTTCGCCTGCGGCTTCTGTGCATCTCATGACTGGAAGTGCGTAACTCCCGAAAGTTGCACTGATGAGAAGAAGGGCATGCTCAACACATGCCAAGACATATGGATCATGCCTGAAATTTCCGTTCAACGTATGGCCCACCAAGCTTGGAATTTCGGACGGCTGCGCAGACTAAGGGCAAGCATTTGTCACATTGGAACTGTCGCCTGAAACGTTTACGTTCTGAACGTTTAAGCAGGTTCATCAAATACGCGGATGGGTGGCGACCCCCCCTGCCAAGAACATCTAACTATGTACGTGCCTCCTGACGTTTGGTCATTCGAGAGCTGGGGATGCACAAAACTTGCGCAGATGGAAGGGGGGGTCTAGTTCAGGTCGTGTTCACAAGACAGTTCTCTCAATCATAGCTAATGGTAGTGCCAACCAGCTACATGGATGGAGTTGGTCCTCAAACGCGTACCAGCCAAACTGGTGGAGAGAGATTCCTGATTCAACCCATTGTGCTTGGTAACATGCGGCCGAAATGCAACTCTGATCGTGATCGTACACACGCGCTTCAAAGCCGTCAGAGGTCCAGACCCTCTTCTGGGTCCCTCAGCAACTATGTGGGCACCTGCAGTCCAGGACGGGTACCTGTAGTCCAGGAGAGGGCAACCTGTAGTCTAGGGGTGGAACGGGGGACCGCGTCTAGGCGTGGGCGTCTTTTGACCAGGGGAGGGGTCTACCTGTAGTCTGAGTGGCGTACTTTTCTTCTGGGGAGGAGCTGGCACATCTGCATAATCCAGGGGGGGTGCTTGCAGAACACCGCATGCACGTGCGCGTCAACGCGGCGTGAACGTGCCGCACGGGTCTGGCCTCACCGCCAGCGCTCGGCCTCGACACGGAGAGCAAGCCCCCGCCCCCCCACCCGCACCCCACCCGACCTTCCAGCCACCCACCCAGGCTGGTCGGCGACTCCGAGGGATGTGGTTTGCAAGGGGTGTGCGTTTGCAACTGGCTCCCTGGGGGGGGGCACCCCGGGGGTCGGGCGAGGACCTCGACAGAGCTCTCCACCGCGCCCCGAGGAGGCCCGACGAGGACAGCGTCGTGCCCCCCAGGCCCCAACGGTGCCGATCGCAAACCACACACCAACGTAACCATACCCTTTGCAGTCGCCCCCCGAGGGCGAGGCTCAAGTCGACTGGGGGGGGCGACTGGGCCACATCTCCTGAGCCGAGGCCGGACGAGCTCAGCCGCGGGTCCAGGGCGCTCGCCGAGGACGGCGCCGCGGCGCCGCCGCCAGAGGCGAAGGCCCCCGCCTGCAGCTCCCCGCACGGGTCCGGGGGGGGGAGGGAGGGGGGAGGGTCATCATCATTATCATCATCACCATCACCATCACCATCACCATCACCATCACCATCACCATCACCACCACCACCACCACCACCACCACCACCATCATCATCATCATCATCATCATCATCATCATCATCATCATCATCATCATCATCATCATCATCATCAGCATCCTCATCAGCATCCTCATCATCATCATGATCACCATCACCATCATCATCATCACCATCATCATCATCATCATCGTCGTCATCATCATCATCATCATCATCATCATCAGCATCCTCATCCTCC